TGACATGGTTGGTTCTTATAGACTAAGGAAAAAAATGATGGACTAACTGTCGGGTCTTTGGTGGGTTGCCGTTAGTTAGTCCATTATCTACCTCCTACGTCCATTGCCACCACCCGCTTCCACCAATAGGATCCCTCCAATCCCTTTTTGTCTGTCTGTAGCTTTGTCTATCAGTTTCAATAATCGGCCAGCGGGCCGATTATTGAAACTTATAGACAAAGCTAAAGACAGAGACATCAAAAGGGATTCGGAGGGATCCTATTGGTGAAAGTGGGTGGTGGCAATGGACATAGGAGGTAGGTATTGGACTAACTAACGGCACCTTACCAAAGACCCGACAGTTAGTCCATCATTTTCTTCCTTAGTCCGTACGAACCAACCATGTCAACCAATAGGATCGCTCCACACTCCCTATGTCTTCTTTGTCTATCAGTTTCAATAATCGGCCTGCAGTCGATGCGAGGACGTGGAAAACCCGCGACGCTTGGCAACAAAACAGGCTCATCCTCGCTCGGGAGAGGAGCTCAAGTGGTTCAACCCGATCGTGTTCGTATTCAAATGAGAAGCGCCCGGCTCCGAATACAATTAACTTATTATCGGGGGGCGTGTTCTCTCCCCCTCCCCGCCCCGCGCCCCACGGCGGGGGTATCTCCGCGCGAGAATTATTATAGGCGATTTGAGCCGGGGTCCGCGGGAGCAAGCTCCGTGTGCATAATATGCAATTCTCCGTGCACCATGATCCGTATCTCGCGCCCATTAATGGCCAACAAGCCCCCGACCCATAAACAATTACCCGCCCCAAAACGCCCGCGCTTCGGCAGACGGCCGCTTGGCGCGCTGTCGGGTGTGGATCCTCGTCGCTTAACGGATATAAGTGAGAAACGTCCTTTAGCCTGTTCGGGGTAGGTGGGAACTTCTCAAAGGGTTGGAAATTATCTTCTTGTTGAATGTTTAGTCGTAGTCTGACGGACTCTAAATGTATGTACAGTCATGGATGCATCAGAACTCTGAGGAATAAGGAGAAGGAGGAGGGGGAGGAGGAGGAGGAGGAGGGNAGGGGAGGAGGAGGGGAGGAGGAGGAGGGGATTAGGAGGAGGAAAATATCAATGAGATAATAGAGATGTTGCATGTGTGAGAAATTTGCGATTTGATTATTGATTATTACGTCAAAGTTCGCTAAACACGATGGTGCCACTGGTTTTCTCTGAAATCAACCCCCAAGCTCAAAAAAAGCTCTCAAGTTGAGACCATGATGGAGGGGATATCCCACGCTATCCTGAGAGTCCGCCTCTACATCAAGACAAACTCTCCATGCGAAGATAGGGAGCAAATACATTTGCAGGGTTGCCGTGTTTTCAGTTTTAGAGTCCCCAAATAAAGTGGCAGCCCCGTAAATGTATTTGCTCCTTATCTTTGCATGGAGAGTTTGTCTTGATGTAGAGGTGGACTCTAGAATAGGAAGGGGATAGAAGGAGGGGTAGAATATCCCCTCCATTACACCCTCAACTTTGAGAGCTTTTTTTGAGCTTGAGACTTGATTTCAGAGAAAACCAGTGGCACTATCGTGTTTCTCTCGAACTTTGACGGAATAATCAATAGTCAAATCGTAAATTCCTCACACATGCAACATCTCCATTAAGAAAATAGGAAGCGGACGGTTGAGAAGAGAAATAAATTGATGCATCGAGGAGTAATTAGAAGATGAAGATGAAAGAGGAAATGAGGAGATTAATCAACAGGGTTTTTTTTCTCGCCTTTAACTTCCACTTTTTCTTACTCTAAATGGATTACGTTTTGCAAAAAAAAAACAAGCAGTGAACTCCAACACAATGTGTTGATAAGGCGCGTCATTAACTCGCACATATCAACCCCTTTAGTTTTCATTTACAGAGATTTCAAAATAGGCAAACAGCATAAAAAGAGAATTCACGATCCAACACTGCGAGGTCAAAGACGCACCTTGACGAGACCGTGTATTGTGAAAGTAGAAAGCTATTCGATCGAATTTAAGTTTTTTGATCTGCCTCAAGCAAAATCTTATCAGATTCTTGAAGAAAAGTGCTACGGAATAATTTAAGCGAAGAAAGGAAAAATTCTGTCGAACTCCTAGAAGATAAAGTCGATTTAAAGGTATTTTGGGGCTAAAATACCCAAATCACCGGTAGTAAAAATCCCGTTATATTATTGAAAAGAAATTGACTCGATATAAATGCAATTGCATTAAATACGTCTTGATTTTGTTATTTTAAACGTCTTTCCATGCAAAGAAGTTCAACCATGTCGTTGCTTTATTCATTCATGAATTGAAAGTAAGCAATCTACATCCCGAAAATCTACTGATTTGCCGTAAAAAATTGCAGAAACTTGATATACCAGGTCGATGCACCCACTCGTTGAATTTACCAACCAATTTTGTGAGTGCAAATGTGTAAGAATCAATATGCTATAGTCATTTTGGGTGCATTTATTTTTCATGAAACAATAATAATTTCAATCCCGAAAAACCATCAATTTTCCGTATAAAATCGAAAAAATCAAAATATGTCAACTCCCCGACGTGAAAATTAGATTCTACGTATGTAAAATGTAAATACTTATGTATCGATATGCTGAACAGAACTATGTGTGGACAGTCAGAAGCCCGCGGCAACATTAATTCAACAGAAAAACTGTAAAAATTAGATAGGATTTTAGCCGCTTTGCCCGCCTCTCCTCGCTACTTACAACAAACCGTTCTTATACTCATCTCAAAATTTTTCTCAGAGCTTTGGGTTATTATCAGCTTCCATTTAAACTCCGGTTCGATGGCCGAATCGGCTGCCAAAAAAGCAAGCCACTGTTGAGGGGTTCTATGAGAAATTCGTGATATTATCGGCTCTCAGGAAATCACCCCATGGCTAAAATTGGTGGTATAAATGTTTAAGTGCTTAAAATAATCGTATTCAAGAAACTAAGGAATTAAACTATGGAGTCAATTTCTTTTTAATAATATAACGAATTTACTACCGGTGATTTAGCTATTATAGCCCCAGAATACTTTTAAAGCGCCTTTGCGTTCCAGAATCTCGACGGAATTTTTTTTTTTTTTTTTTTTGCTTAAACGATTCAAGAAACATTGTAGTTAAAAATATAAAGATTTTTCGATTTGGACGTATGAAAAATGTTTAACTCGTTCAGGCACACCGTGTATTGTATGGAGTACTGCTGTTATTCGACCGTTGTCTTCAGGTCAAAATTCTTACAAAGAAGCCCCTTGCAAGAGGCAAATTTTTTGTAATTTCTCCCAGTTTTTTCAGCGTTAGGTATATAAATGAATTGTTTGTCAAATTTTGAGGTCAATTATATTTAATTGTAATTTATACTTTCTTTTTTTCCCCTTCATTTTATTTTTCGTATCGAGGAGTCGAGGTTTTGTTGATTTCTTCGGATTTCGATTACTGTAACTTCTCTTCTATTCGGCCGATTTTTATGAATGAGGTCTCTTTTTATTTGTGTTTTAACGGAGAGTAAGGAAAAAATTGCTAAATACATGCGAAACAATTTTTTTTGAAAATTGGATGAATCCTAGCGTGACGGTGAAATGGTTAATGAAGCGTGAGTAATTGGGGTACGGGTATCGGCCGCGTTGGGACCCAAGGCCCATTGTTCTTCGTGACGCCGACGCAGTGATCAGGAGCGTGGGGACGAGAGGGCTTAGTGGACTCCTGTATGAGCCACGTTTAGCAAATGGTCTAATGAGTCTCGAGGCTCATCACAGATTGCACTTACCACTATCCTGGTGGCCCCGGCTATCAGAGCAAGGAGTACCAACTTTTGAAAAGGATAACAGTGTTGTGGAGATATGTCAAAGCAACGTTGTGAACAAAACGGAGTGAGTGAAATTCTCATTCAAGGAGTGCCGAACTGGTCAGCCATCCTCGAATCAGTTCGCTTGCTTCCGCTTATATATGCATATTTTAAATCAGCGCGCCCCATTCTAAGGTTTTTTTAAAAAAAACCAAGAAACGTAGACTCTTGGTATTCATTACACATAAACTAGCGAGCCCCAGAATGAGAAACAAATTTTAATCATTATTATTGACGGATTAGTAAACTTTTTACACGCTTTGGAAAATCTCAGAAGTTCGCGGTAGTCACTTTTCGGTAAGGAACTAAGGGACTCGGTTATTGTATCGAGCAGGGTTCGAAACGATCGCAAAGGCGGTATACTACGTATACGCGCCAAAAAAAAAAAAAAAACGGTGTATGACATGATTGTCATTCTTTGCCGGATGCCCACTTGAAAATCGTATTTATACCTGGAAACTGTTGGTAACCTGTAAAAGAGACGTATCAAGTTGAATTCCGGAAAAAATAAGTAGATGAATAAATACGATTGGTCAGAATTTATAATTGTCAAAAATCTGAAGTCAGAAAATACATTTTTGAATGTGATAATAGCCATTGAACTTTGGAATTAACATTGGATTATACGGAGGAGTAAAACCTTAAACCTCTTTTTCACGGCTCAAAGTTGATGCGGTGTAGGGCGTTCCTCCTCAACCCGGCTAGTATGTTAGCAGCTGTGTGTGATAGTGATACAACTATTTTAACCTCCGAGTAGCCGAGATTGCATAGGCACTAAATAGAAGGCGAACTCAGTTCCTATAAATCTTACTTCCTCACCTGATTTCGCTTCTACTTTCATAAGAAGCCACCGCCTGCCCGCGGACTGATTACCAAAATTGATAGATGTCAGGACTTTTCACATTTTTCAATCCCATTTTTAAATTTCCCTATGTATATTTCATATGGACATTTGAGTGATGACTGGATTTTTTCACTTTTCAACTTAATCTTCAACTTCTTCGTTTATCTGTCAGACATCAACCATTATTTCAATGACCAGACTTACAAGTGATAACTACATCGATCGTAGCCAGTCTATCACGTGTAGACATGTTATCTCACCACCCGTGATGTCACCAAGTCTATATAAGCATGGGCTGCCTGTTCTTCGGGGTCCTTCCTACCAGACCCGTGCGTGCAACACGTATGCCTTCCTCGCCTCTCAGGCTTTTATCTCCAAGTGTAACTTTCAATCAATATTTTGTAAAACCGCGTAAATCGAAACCCCTCTCTCAATACAATCTTTCGACCCTGCCAATCTTTTGTTCTGTCATTTTCTACGCTCTCGCCGTAATTCAGCTTTCCCAATGGACCACTAGACACGGTACGAAGTTAGGCATTCTAATACATATTCCTTGATAAAAATTTCACATAGCACACGATTTGCGCAGCAAATATTACTGAAATCAACTCCCAACCAAGATATTTAACGTTTCTTGTCGCATAAATTCAAACCTCCCGCTCATGGAAACGCAATGGTCTACAAGAGTCAAATCGCACGTTAAACGTTATCATCGGAGTCTCTGCACTGAAAAAAAAAAGTATCGGCGTTTTTACCAAGGTCCGTTGGTACCTTTACCATCTCACTTTTTTTTTACCAATTATTGGTAATTTTACCAAGACAGACTGGTAAGCTTACCTAAAAACCGGTATTTTTAATGTTTTATATTCAGGTAAGAATACCACTTTTATTGGTAATAAATTCCCGGTAACTTTGCGATTTTATCTCGGTAATTCTACCACAGTCGATAAAAAATATTGGCGTTTTTACCAAGGTCCGGTAAAATTACCGAGAAAGTTCAATAATTTTACTGAGATTCTCGGTAAAATTATCAATTCTATAAATGGTAATTTTACCAAGAAAAAAGTGAGATCAAATAGAACCCTGAATTCTTGGTAATTTTACCCTTTTCCTAGTAAATACACCGAGATTTTTTTTTCAGTGTGCGATACAAAAATATGGCAACCGCAATATTGCCACTTTGCCTTAGGAATTGCAAATTGTTCACACATTGAACAATAAAGGGTGGAAAAGGCGCAATGCCCGCTTGAGATGCCTGCCAAAACCGTAATTGTAATACGCGATTTGACTCACGTAGAGTATTGTGTTTATTGTGACCGGGCAATCCAAATTTCCCGTACATACATACATATAAATTGCTTTATAGCACTCCCTCGCGCTCCACGACCCCTAACCTCCACTACCCTCCGTCGAACCACAACCTTTGGGGCATTGAGCAACTTAACATTTCCGCTTCAATCCCCTCCCTCCAACCTCTCGTTGGGTGCCATCTGCGCCTGCTCCCAGGAGTAACCGTAATTTCCCGCGACCGATGTAAAATAAGTACGGTAATATCTGATTTAAGAGTTGATTTCAGTGATTTTCAATGCAAGACTCGGGTTTTACGTGAAATTCTGGAAAAATACCGGGTGATCCAGACCACCCCTCACTATCTATATCCGGAGAACCACTAAAAATCGAATTTTGAGAGTGTAACTCTCATTCGGTACATCGATGGGGTAAATAACATGGGGCACCTTCTCCCCCCGGTGAACATCCCCCCCCCCAAACAACCCCAAGGGGTCATTTTGGGAGGCGGGGAATATTTTCATTGGATTCTTTTCACTGGGAAAAAAAAAACACATTGGATCTAGAGTCCAGACTCTTAAAAACATCGACAAGAAAAAATAATCTTGATTCAATCAGATTTAAGCTTAAATCAAGAGCGAAGCCTAGCTCTTAATTTGAGCGGATTTCCTTTTGATTTAAGAATAAATCAGATTGAATCAACAATCCTTTTTCTTGTCAATGTTTTCAAGAGTCTGGACTCTAGATCCAATGTGTATTTTTTCCAGTGTTGATATAAATATAGCGGAGCGGAGGTATGGATCACTCAGTACACTGGAAAAAAAAAAACACATTGGATCTAGAGTCCAGACTCTTGAAAACATTGACAAGAAAAAATACCCTTGATTCAATCGGATTTTTGCTTGAATCAAAACGAAATCCGCTTCAAGTAAGAAGCTTGGTTCTTGATTTAAGCTAGATTCTGATTGAATCAAGAGTACTTTTCCTTGTCGATGTTTTAAAGAGTCTGGACTCTAGATCCAATGTGTTTTTTTTTTTTTTTTTTTCCAGTGTGCCTTGTCTACTCTTGGAAAAAACCGCTTAGATCTAGAGTCCAGATTCTTGAAAACAATGACAAGGAAAAATACTCTTGATTCAATCGGATTTTTGCTTAAATCAAGAACCCAGATTCTTAATTTAAGCGGATTTCCTTTTGATCCAAGTAAAAATCCGATCGAATCAAGAGTATTTTTTCTTCTCAATGTTTTCAAGAGTCTGGACTCTAGATCCAATGTGTTTTTCTTCCAGTATTGTCTAGTGGTCGATTGACTTAGACGCTACCTACAATAAAAGCAACTAATCATAAACTCCGTTATCCTATGTTGCAGGTTACTCGGACCAGTACATCCCCTCCTCGTACGACTTCAAGTCGGAGGACTCCAAGTCGATCCTGGGCCACGATGGCGGGATCCCGATCTTCCGGGCGCGGAGCCAGGAGGAGACTGAGGCGGCCCACGACCTCCTGGAGCTCTCCCGCTCGCTGCCGCCTCTCCCGGCGCCGGCGGTCGCCCGCATCGCCGTCAGCTCGCCGCACCCGCACGCCGCGCCCGCCGCCGCCCACTCGGTCGAGTACATCATCTACCCGCAGACCTACCCCGGCGCCGCCTCCCCGCTCACGCCGACCACCTCGGAGTACTCCTCGGACGCCGAGAACAACCCGAACCCGCAGAACGACGTCAAGCCTGTGATATACACCTACGACGCGCTCCTCATCACCGACGGACGCTCCAAGACAAGGAAAGAGCTGCCTGTTGAGGTAATTGTCCATCCTTCCTGGCTCCATCTCGTCGTCTTCCGCACGAAGGAACGTAACTTCATTTCAAGGTTGCCAAATTGGGTCAAACAATTTATTTGTTAAACAATAACGGACCGCGTTTAACAGAAAGGAACCAAGCCACATCAGCCATTGCCAAACTTAACTCGGCAATTTAATTTTTTACGAGAGAACGTTTGTGCGGATTCTTTTAAAAATTTTAAGGAATTTGCTTCGTATTACGGAGAATATTCACTGAAATTTGCACAAAAATCCGAACGACCATTTTCATGTATAAAAATAAATTGCCCAGCTAAATTTGGCAATAGCTGATGTGGCTTGGTTCCTTTCTGTTCAACGCAGTCCAAATGTACCGGTGCAATTTTATCCAAAATTTCCCTGATTTTTGCATGAAATGTGAGGAAAAATCAGCGCAATTTTCAGTCAGAAATGCTCAAGATTCTCTTGGTTAATATGCAATTTCCGAGGGGAAATTTGGCATCAATGAAATGGAGTTACGTTCTTTCGTGAAGGAGACGACGATCTCTGCCGTCCTCAGCAAAAACGCCCTAACTCCATACTAGATTTGTCGGCCTCCTATGCTGCCGTTATAGCGCAAAGAGAGCCGTAAGTGCAAAAATGAAGTTTTGAGAAAATGGGCCCAGAAGCTTCTGAGTGAAACATTTTATTGAAAGAGGCCTCCGTTCTTTGTCAAATCGCAACTAATCATTCAATAGACTGTTAGAAATCATTTGGGAGATTAAAACTCGACCAATTTTGTTTTAAAGTACATGAAAAAGGTAAAATTCAGTTTCATGTTCGGTTAGTATTTGGCAAGACAGCCGTAAGTGCTATCTCCTGCGTGCTTTTGTGGTAGCGTGTTGGACACACAACAAACACACTTTCAGGTTAGAAATCGGCAGATGAGGGCGGCGTTCCTCTTGAAAGCACTGTTTTCATTGGCTCTCATGCACCTATGGCTGTCTTGAAAAAAACTATGTCATTTTTTGTGCACTTACGGCTTTTTCATACGTCTCGTTTTCATTAAATTAGGATGAATTTGGCTGTTTTAGCTGTCTCAGTAATTACATCTAAAAGAGTTTAGACGAATTTTGAAGAAACTCGATTTCGAAAATTTTGCACTTACGGCTCTCTTCGCTAACATGGCAGTGCTGGCTGCATCTCTGCGGTCCTCAGCAAGAACGCCGTAACTCCATACTGGATTTGTCGGCCTCCTATGGTGTAGTGGTTGTAGCGCTAGCTCTATTATCGGGAGGTCCCGGTTTGATACCCCGCCAGGCTATACCGGAGTTTGATGGTCTCAAACAATGGTTGCCTGGGACTGGTTGTAGGGACGGTGGGGGACGGGACTAAAGCGCAAGGATTAGCCCTTGTGGGCTACTTGAAGAATTAAAAAAAAAAAAAAGCTATGTCACATTTTTACCGAAAACATGTTTTACTACGCCCGTGCCCCACGATCAAATGAACCCATCAAATACTTATCAAATGCAAGATGGCGGTTTCATCAACATTTGACGGCCCGCCAACTTTTGATAAAGCGGACTTGCGCGAAAACCAGTGCGCATCTCAGCCATCTTGTGTTTGATGAGATCATTTGATCGTGGGACGCGGGCTTTAACGAAAAACCAACTACCATTCATCCCTCTCAGTTCTGAAATAACTGTGGCACACCACTGTGAATTCAGATTTTCAGAATGAAGCATCGTTGCGGTCCGGTTTTCTCGTAATAGAGCAGTATGTGCGGAAGAAAAATGCGAAGCGTTGATTGGAGCTACGGCGTTTTTCCTGTGGATAGCAGATCTTAGGCCTTGTATCCATGAGATATTTTCATGGGATTCCCAGGGTTGCCATAATCAGGGAATACCGAGAAAACCAGGAAATGTCAGGGAATTTTAAAAAGTCAGGGAAGACCTGCTGGAAATGTCAAAGAAAATGACGGAAATGTGAGAGAAAAATTTACAGGTCTCCTATATTTCCTTTCTACAATAGGTTTGACGTTTTGAACAACAAATTTTGTCTGAAGACTTTTTCGAATCATGTTTTTTTAAGCACCTGGCATGTCCTCAATTGTCAGGGAATTTCGCCGAAATGTGACCGAGAAATCAGGGGAATATCAGGGAATCTCATTATGTAAATTTGGTGGCAACTCTGGATTCGTCCCTGTGAATATTCCCGCTTGCAAAGTACTGCAAAATCGGAACAAAATTGACTAACTCCAAATTAATACTAAGTGCCAAGTTGGAGATCTGTAGAAATTCAAGACCTACTGTAAGAAAAGGAAGAATTGGAGGTTATTTTGCTATTAGGAACTACAATTCCTTGCTGGAGCTAGAAACAACGCATAGGCCATTATTTTTCCTATGCACGTGAGTGTTTTCACGAATGAGCTAGAAATTATAGGTCCTAATTGCAAAATTTAGTTCAACTGAAAGCAAATGGACCACTAGACAAGGTACAAATTTCAGCATTCTGATGCATGTTCCTCAACCAAAATTTAACGTAAAACACGATGCGGACAGCGAAAATTACCTAAATCAATTCCCTACGAAGATATTTAAATGATTCTTGATGCATGAATTCAAACCACTCGCTGATGAAAACTCAATGCTCCACGTGATACACATCGCGCGCTAAACGTTATCATGATAGTCTCTGCGATATAAAACTCTGGAAATCTCAATCTTGACGCTTTGACTCAGCTGAAGCAAATTGCTTATGGTTTGAACAACACATGGTGGGAAATGAACATTGTTCAATTTAGAAGCTTGCTGAAACCGTCGTGGTGCGCAATTTGACTCACGTAGAGCTTTGAGTTTCTTGTGAGGGGGCAGTTTAAATTCTTCGTGACCAGTGTGAAATAAACGACTTCGCATTCCACAACCCGCATGGCGCACAACCCGCCTTCCATTACTACACTTCATCTAGCGTTGCGAGTTCACTAATTACTTAACACGACCAGCATGTAATTTAAAGTCGAAAATTTAAAGAAAAACTAAGAAGAAAGGGGGAAAACCATTTACACGATACACAAGTTTCTCCCCGCTAAAAATCGGTCCCCACCCGCCCACCGGGAGAGCCGCGGCGTGCCGTAAACTTGCCCACAATTAATAGGTCAGGGTGTGAAAATGTAGGCAATTTGACATCAAATTCGAAATTAGCGACTCAAGAAACATCAGTTACGAAACTCCCGTGATCTTTAAGTCATTATCCGACTTATTCCTTCGTATTCTTCAGTTTTGGACCATAGTCCGGCGCTCATGAAATACTCCCCTGTGTTTAATCGGTGAAATAAAAACGTTAATATCTTCGTTAGGAGTTGGTTATAGTAATTTTCGTTGCGCGAATCGTAATCTGCGTGAAATTTTGGTTGAGAAACACGTATTAGTTTGCTTACATTTGGACGTATTTCTACCAAACAGACCTATGTGGAGGTGAGAAATATGGGTGCTCGTTAGTTCTCTGGCCGTAAGAGTGAATGAGAATAATAAAGCGCCAGTGACGTCAGCGGCAATGATGCAGCCGAGTATCGAGGGGGAATCGTCGTCGGAGCGCTGTAACTCATGAGCCCTGTTCACAACGCTCTCGCCCCATACTCGCGGCTCATGACTGCCGCATTCAGTTGACACATAGGTCTGTGTGATAGAATGTGATATCCCGCTTTTCCAATTCTTCAAAAGGAATCACGCCCTCTTTTACATTGTTTCTTATGCAGCTTCGACAAGCACACCCCATATTTCTCACCTCCACATAATTCTGTTTCATAGAAATACGTCCATTTGTACCTTGTCTAGTGGTCCATTGTGTGATGTTTTGTCTTTCCACTCCATCGTTCGTGTTTGTTGTCTCGCAATACTTTTTCTGAGTTTGTTGATTTTCTTTTCCTTTTTGATGAAAATCCAGGTTGAAATGAAAGAGTTCTCGTCGAAAGGCAACAAGTACACGTGCACGGAGTGCGGGAAGCAGTACGCGACGTCCTCGAACCTCTCGCGACACAAGCAGACCCACCGAAGCCTCGATTCCCAGTCCGCCAAGAAATGTCTGACCTGCGGGAAGGCCTACGTGAGTATGCCCGCGCTGGCCATGCACCTCCTCACGCACAAGCTCACCCACGCCTGCGGGATCTGCGGCAAGATGTTCTCCCGGCCCTGGCTCCTGCAAGGTCACCTCCGCTCCCACACCGGCGAGAAGCCCTACGGCTGCGCGCACTGCGGCAAGGCGTTCGCCGACAGGAGCAACCTCCGGGCCCACATGCAGACCCACTCCGCGGACAAGAACTACGAGTGCCTCCGCTGCCACAAGACGTTCGCCCTCAAGTCGTACCTCAACAAGCACCTGGAGGCGGCCTGCCAGAGGGAGGAGGACTCCAGCAGCGAAAAGGATTACGGCAACGAGTAGCATTCGGCCGCGCCGCGCAACTCTGTCATCAGGTTTGCCGGCGCTGAGAAACTCGATTAGACTCCGCTAGGGGATTTTCTTTCATCGGTCCAATTCTCCATTGGTCGAGTCTCAATTTCTCGATGAGTCGATTTTCGATATTTCAGGGGTCGCGGCTACTTTCGAATTTAAAACAGTGCATGCGAGTATAAAACACTTGAAATGAGGTTCCTTTAAAAAATAAATGCTTTTTGAACGAGCATAACGTACCGTTCTGACACATACGTTGTTTTTTTGCTTCGAAAGCACTTATGAATCAAACAAAGCTAGGAAATTCAGTGAAACAGCCTCTCCCCCCCTCCCTTGCATGAAAGGTCGAAATTTTACTTCTTCCAGAAATGTTACTCAGATTATGCTCCAATTACTTGAGTAAAGAAAAAAAATACCAATCGTGTCATTTTATTTTTTCTTTTACTTTATGGCTCCGTTCGAAGTATAATTAAAACCCGTCAATTCTTAACAAAAAATACAAAATCCATGATAAATTTTTCCTAAAATCATTATTCTGAAGGTAAAAATATCGTGCTTTATCCGTCTCTCTTTTCTTTGAAATGAGGAATTTCACATGAGTGAAGTTCGAAAGTGCTCAACCCACCAAACTATTCTCGTCAACACCCTAAGTACCTGTAAACGTACCCTTCGTAAGTACCTGTGTACTTAATTTGGTTTGACTGTAACTGGTGAGTATTTTAATGTTGTATAGTTTTCCGTTGTTTTTTCCTTAATTATTTCGTTACAAAATTTAAATTCTTGCAATGAAACTAGTCTTGGCATATGTACATAGTTCAAGGACCTAGGAGAGACCTTTTTTTTTTCGATCCTTGCTTTATATTGCATTATTTACTGGCTTCATATTTTTCACGTGGGTTCACGGAATCTAGTTTTGTTGACGATATAAGTGAATGTTTTCGTCAACCAACGAATTATAAGTTAGAGGCTCGCTTTTAAACAATATCTATGGTTGAGCAACTTAATCATAAAATGATGTCTGCGAGGTGCGTGATTTTTCTTTTCTTTTCTGGCTCTTGAATTATTAAAAATTATGCTCAAAAATTCTTGCGGTTACCGCGGGAAAGCTTACACATTCCCCGCATTGCCATTACCTACAAAATTCCCTCTAGTCATTTTGAACAAAAATTAAAGATAGGTATTTATGCATTTATTTAGTTTATTTACTGTATTTTGGTTAATTTAAATTGTTTTGTGCTAGGCGCACCTCAAATTTGCGACATAAAATGTGACAAATATCCGAAATTTTCTACACTAACTCACACTAAAATTTTCTAGTTCCACCATAAATTATCTTCATTCAGGGACAAAACCCGTGAATTCACTTTGATGAAGCAATACACGGTCAAACAAGCCTCTGAATTCCTCTGAACATTGTAAAGTAAAAACTGCTCAAATCTGTAGAGAAAGGTCTATGAAACAAATTAATTATGAAACGGTCAATGATTCATTTCAAAAATTTGAGAATTGCCAAATTGCCTCCAACACCTCCTCATTTTTGAGAAAAGTCATGAATATTTTCCCTGCAATTTTTAGATAATATAGACCTAATCGCGATTGAAGTCTCATGAAAATCCGAAGAAAGATATTCACGAAACTCGCTGAAAATTGATATCTCATCAAAGGAAATTTGCCAACGTCTGAGGGTTACGCGCCGTTTTTCTTTAAGGTGGTAGCGTGATTCTTGCTCAGGACGGCTGTATGGGGGTTGTTTCAGGTGGGTTCATTCAGACAACAATGCGCTTCAGAACGACTGAAATGAGAAAAAGCAACAGTTATTATCTTAACTTTCCAGTGCCGTAAACTCGCTCTACCGCTGTGGGAGGGGCGCGGAGGTGGGCCGGGGGGGGGGGCGGCGGCTGAGTAATCAATTGACCCAGTTATTCCAATTTCCACTCGAAATCCGTAAGGGCCTGCTTTGACTCGTCAGCAGTCAAAGTTGGGATCGCGAAGCCAAATTCAATTATCGAATTTGAAAAGCGGGTTTAATTTTCGGATTTGAAAGCGCCCTGAAAACAATTAAACACCCCTGACGTAGGCGTACCCCGGAACTCCGGCTGGCACGCGGTTCCGCAAAACCCCGAACTTGAGTCAAAGAGCCCTCCCCCCCCCTTCCCTTCCAAGGCCCCGCCGACCCCTCCCCCGCGACGGATGTGCTGTTCATCGTCGAACAACGATGGATTCCAAGGAAATGAGACTCTGTTGTGCCTTGCTGCGGTGAACTTCTCGAATTTCGAGTGTGATACATTGAGCACAAACACAGAATTCCGTGCGTAACATTTATTAACCTTTGTCGGATTAAAGGGCGGAGGGCTGAAGCGGGGCGCTGTTCTTTGGGGCTTTTTCGCTGGAAATAATTAAAGGGACACTGTTGTCGAGTCGATTATTTACTCCACCGTACTGCCGTACTAAGGAAGAACGTTGTGTAAGCCTTAAGACGTTGCAAAATTTCCTCTCAAAAAATGTATATTCTTGAAGAAAGCTATGAATAGTTTTGCTTAAAATTTTCAGAAATTTTACATCGAAGTGCACACAAAATTCCCCCAAAAATAGACAGGAAAATATGTATACATTTTTCTGAAAAATCGTGATTTGTCAAAGGATATTTAGCAACGTCTGAAGGCTCCTGCAGTGTTCTTTTCTCTACACCCTCCCTCCCCTTCACCCCACACCCACCCCAAAAGTATAAACCGACAGCTTTTCAGGCTGCAACCCCCGATTTATTTTGAAATGCAGGGATTTTTTCAGAATTCATCCAAATGCAATAATTTTGTCCTTTTAAAAATCAGAAAAGTTACTTTTAATATACTAATTACCTATAAATTTCATAGCCAGATTCAACATAAAAAATCACTCAAATGCTTAGAGAAGGAACAGACAAATATTTTGGACTACTTCGTCGACTGAAGAACCAATTAGTGGCATATTCTTCAACAAAAAATTCAATCAGTTTACAATGAAAAATAATCATTTCAACCGTCAATTGTTATATCCCATAAATCTTACTCACTCATGCGTGACTCATTGATATTTGTAAATTAGTGCAGTTGCAATGTTTTGCACACTCATTTTGACTCATCGAAGTGTATCGAAGAGAATCTATAAATCCATTATAAATAGTTTATATTTTTAGACTGTTGATATGTGCATAGTCATTTATATCCATCGTAGATTAGCCAGGAATTAATGCGAGAATTTGTTGATTAATTCCTGTCCTTTAATTTTTGTGTTCTCTTAGAAACCCCACGCTCATCGTCTCACATATGTGTGTATCATGATCAGAAGTGAGATGAAACGCCAAAATACCAGACCAATTGTCTGGGTTTTTGGTGTTTTCTCCCACAAGCAACTATGCACATTTGTGTCTGTACATTCCTGAATGGCCTTTTCGTTCAACGCATGCAATTATTTTAAATTTAGTGTTTCGTGATCCAATAACTTATGACCTGCTGGTGTTGTGCTTAAGTAAGTGTTCGTTTCATTATAATACTTTGACTCCAATTTTTCCCCAAGCCATTGAAGCAAGGAGGAACCAAACACTGGCTGAGGATGAAATACTGTCTCAATTTCAGCAAACTGAATTTGCTGAGGAGGCATTTTATTAACAAAGTAGAATTTCCTAGATTATATACTTGCGTAGATCTCTCTGTATTCGGACATGATTTTGTATTATTATGTTGGCAGCCCACAGTTTTCCCTTAATTTGTACAGTTCTGTATTTGAGATATTTATAGAGGTTATTTTATTACACTTTTTTATAATGTGTACAGTATACATCAGTAGTTTCTAGGTGGTAGTGAACCCTTTCAACCTTGGCTATTCGCTAGCTTGGTAAAGTCGTCTTTATAGTTACCCGCAATCATTGCATTTTTCCATGTTTGCATAATTTTCTTTGAGCTTTCCTCATGTCACTACCGAGTTTGCGACGGGCGGGACGTGTTTCTAAATTTATGGCCTCTCTTCCTTGGAAAGAGACAGAAAAATATTACCAGATACAATCGGACCAGAATATTATAGTAGGTCCAAAAATGACCCTAATACACTAAGAATAATGGATTTTAGCGCACCTTTTCGAATGATTTGATGCCATTCTGCTCATATTTTTTACCACGGAAAGCTTCAAAAAACAGCTATGATCGCTAAACAGAAGAGACCGAGACTGATGCGTTGCCATTTACGGATTTTAATGCCGAATAAAAAGTCTCAGGTTTCGTGAAATGGACTAGCTTCTGTAACCTATGAGTATGCAGTCCGAAAATTTCCGCAAGTTTTCCAGGAAAGGATTTCAATTCTTAATAGGTGGAGTAATCTCAAATTCAACGTTGCTTATTTACCACGTTTACTTATACACTCCGAAACATATATTTTTGGGGTATATTTTGAATTGCCACCGTGTTCTTTGAATTACTTAGCGAGGACGTAATTGAATCGGTTTCTGTTAGACAGGCATCAAGAGCCCTGGTGTCTTACGTGATCAACGGAAGCCAGAACTCATGGATTTCGGACTTACGACCGTCTAACGGAAACCGATTCAATTAAGCTCTCTCTCTGCACATTTTTTCCGTTTGTTCTTAACTTTTACCTTCTGCTGATAATAATTAGTAACAGTACTTATAGTTATAGTATTTATACAAGTAGTATCAGATGTAGGAATCAGTGGCGAGGCGTGAATGATCGATTATCGATATTTCCCCTTTTGAAGCTACGATAAGGAATCGATCATTAAGGTGTTCGTTTTGAACACCCTGTTTATCGATCCTTTGCCACGTGTTTAAACGGCAGATGAATCGATATATCACAAAGCACGTCTCGCCACTGGTAGAAGTAGTTTTAGCGAATCACGTATTATTCAGTCTGACCATTCAAAACGCTTCAATATTTTTTTAAACATTTAAAAGTACCCTCACTCCTTCACTCGCTTGTGAATATATTTTTTTCATCTCTTTCATATACTTAAAATATTTATTTTAAGTTTATGACCGGAAGTTGCACAGTTTTTTTCTTTCAATTCATTACAGGGTCACACATGAAGAAGAAAGGAACCAAACCACGTCAGCTGGCGCCAAATTTAATTTTTTACACGACAACAGTTGTGCGGATCTTTGTGCAAATTTCAGTGAATTTTCTGCATAGTGCGAAGGCAAGTTCCTCAAGATGTTCAAAGGAATCTGCACGAGCGTTCTCTTGTAAAACATGAAATTGCTCAGTTTAGTTTGGTAAAAGCTGACGTGACTTGGTTCCTTTCTGCTGAACGCGATTTATTTTGTGTTGAACCAAAGATAACTGAAATAACGCTTGTGTTCCGAGTAGGAATGGTTTTTCTGAGTTTTCAGCAAGTCGTTAAGCGAGCTAAATCACTCGTAGAATGTCAATCTAGTAAT